AAAAAAAAAAAAAAAAAAAAAAAAAAGTTCAAGATTTTGCCCCCCCCCCCACAAGCCCACCACATGGTCTGATCCCCCACTGCCATGCTGGCAGTTCCACCCATCCAGTTCCAGTCAGGTGCAGAGACAAAGGATGACCTTGGCTCTCTAGAAAGAATTTTGTTATGGCTACACAGCATCTAACCCCATGCAATCCCCCCTCCCATTTTCCCACAATAGATAAATGCATAGTAGAATAATAGTAAGTGTGGCAGGCCAAAGATCCAAAAGAAAAGATGGCTGCAGGCCTGACAGCAAATTTATTTATCTAGACCAGGGGTGCCAAACTCGATTTCATCAGAGTTGTGTCTGACCTCAGAGGGGCTGGGGAGGGGGCGTGGCTGGGGTGGGTGTGCCCAACTCAACGTCACTCATGTCGGGGGTGACTGTGGCAGCCCGAGAACTCTGCCAGCAAAAACAGGCTCCCAAGCTCCGTTTTTGGTTGTGATGGCCTCCTGCAGCCCTCTGCCAGCGAAAACGAAGCTTGGGAAGGCTGCACGGGGCCCTCCTGAGCTCCGTTTTCACTGGCAGGGACCCCATGGGCCAGTCCTTCTCTGTTTCCAGGGCTGCTCTGCAGGCCAGATCTAAGCACCCTGTGGGCCGGATCCAGCTCCCGGGCCTTGAGTTTGACACCCCTGATCTAGACCCACTAGAGAGCAAATTGCAGCATTTGGGTAACGCTCCCAAGGAAGGAATGATTTTCTCAGTCTGGATTTACAATGCAGTGCGGCCGCAAAAAGGTGGGAGTTTAGGGAAGAAAAGGGAGTGGGATCAGTTACTCCGAGAGCCTCCAGTCTATATTCCTCTGCATTAATGGGCGAAGCACGAATGCCCAGCACAAAGGCAGGCCCTAAGCAAGGCATCCAATGGCTCACCCAGAAAGACAGAGGTTTCCCACCACCACCCCAAACCTTGGACAGTTTGGAAAACACAGATCGGGGAACCCCAGATTTCTCCTCTTACCCGCCCAGTAATTCTACCACCGACCGGAAGTGGCTGGCATCCCGGTCTGCCTCTTCTCTGGTCCGAGTCAGACTCTCCACCTCACTTCGTAGCTGCAGGACGGTCTGCTGCAGAGACTGTCGCTCGTGGTTCTCCTCGGCCAGCTGCGTCTTCAGAGAAGACGCCAGATCCTGAGCGGCCTCGTATTTTCCCCGCAGTTCCTGGGCACAACAATAAACCAGGTCACATGTTGGGACAGACCGAGAGGGAACTATTCACCCTGCCACCCACACCGCCATGTGCATGTTCAATGCCAAGAAAATCAGAATCAAGCCAATACGGAAGAACTGCAGGAAAATCTATCTATGCTACCCGTGGTTTCTTTCTGATGCTTTCTCGTCTCCATGGCTGGGGGTCACCCCGGAAGTAGTTAAATCTTGAAGAAGCGGAAGTGTCAGAAATTTCGACAGAAATGGGGATAATGTGAGTGTGAGATCCAGAAGGATGGTCTTCCTGCTTGACCCCCAAAATCAACCTGCTCTTATGCCACCCAGAGCAGGGTTCCCCAACCTTTCGGACCTCAGGGACCACTAAATTCGTAATTTTAAATCCCGCGGACCACTAATATGATCTGCCTAATGACCGGATGGGTGGGTGTGGCTAGGTGGTTATGTGACTGTGTGGGCGTGGCCAACTCGATGTCACTCACGTCGAGGGACACCTCGCTGACCTCTAGCAATAGCAATAGCAATAGCAATAGTTAGGCTTATATACCGCTTCATAGGGCTTTCAGCCCTCTCTAAGCGGTTTACAGAGTCAGCATATTGCCCCCAACAACAATCTGGGTCCTCATTTGACCCACCTCGGAAGGATGGAAGGCTGAGCCTGGTGGGATTTGAACAGCCAAACTGCTGAACTGCAGTGCTGCATTTAACCACTGCGCCACCTCGGCTCTTGGAATTGGAAACCACCTCTACATTATAGCTGGGCGTTATCGTTGTATGCATATGCCTGCTTCTTTATCTGTTACCTTTGAGGGAGGCAGATATGCTTTATACAACACTGTTACTCACTTTAGTAATAGCAATAGCAATAGCTGTTAGACTTATATACCACTTCATAGGGCTTTCAGCCCTCTCTAAGCGGTTTACAGAGTCAGCATATTGCCCCCAACAACAATCCGGGTCCTCATTTTACCCACCTCGGAAGGATGGAAGGCTGAGTCAACCTTGAGCCTGGTGGGATTTGAACAGCCAAACTGCTGAACTGCAGTGCTGCATTTAACCACTGCGCCACCTCGGCTCTTGGAATTGGAAACCACCTCTACATTA